TCACATTGCCACTGTGCTCTCCGATCTCTTTTTTGCTCTATCTAAACCTTTATATATTTTACTTAAAATTTAATACCCCCCTCTTAACTGCTAAATTATAATAGAACATGTAGCATTTCTTTTTCAGATTGGGAAGCTGAAATATAAAATGCTAAAATGATTTGCTTAGAATAACAAGTAGTATAGTCACAAGATGAAACCTGAGCTAACCATTCTTGGTGCATGTGTTGCCAGATGCACTAAGCAGAGGGGACTTTCTAAGATAAAATTTGCAAGCTTAATCACTCCTTTTAGATTTTGTTTTAATTTCTACTTTTTAGAATTTATTTTGTTGTTGTTGAGAATATACACAACAAAACATACACCAATTCAACAATTTCTACATGTACAATTTAGTGACACTGATTACGTTCTTTGAGTTGTGCAACCATTCTCACCCTCCTTTTCTGAGTTGTTCCTCCTCCATTAACATAAACTCATTGCCCCCTAAGGTTCCTATCTAATCTTTTGAGTGGCTATTGTCACTTTGATCCCACATAGATAGTTCTTAAAAGAGCATAATGCTCAATGCAGACATTTTTTACTAGTTTCGCTAAACTATTTTTGCTTTCAAGAAGACTTCAGGGGATATTTTTGGTTTAAGTGTTAAAGATTATCTCAGGGCAATAGTTTCAGGGGTTCATCCAGCCCTCATGGCTCCAGAAAGTCTGGAGTCCATGAGAATTTAAAATTCTCTTCCGCATTTTTCCCCCTTTTGATCAGGATTCTTCTATAGAATCTTTGGTCAAAATGTTTAGTAACGGTAGCCAGGCACCATTCAGTTCTGGTCTCACAGCAAAAGAGGCAGTTGTTCATGGGGGCAATTAGCCACACATTCCATATCCTCCTGCTACTTTTGACTCTCCTTCGTCCTCTGTTGCTCCAGGTGAATAGAGACCAATTGTCATGCCTTAGATAGCTGCTTGCAAGCTTTTAAGACCCCAGGCACTGTGCAACAAATTAGGAAGTGGAACAGAAGCACTAAACATGTTATTAGGCCAATTAACTGAGATGTCCCATGAAAACATGACCCTAAACCTCCAAACCAAGGAACCAAATCCCATGAGGTTTTTGATTATACATAAATAGTCTCAGTATGAATCACATCTAAAATGGTGGGTTTGGTACTGAAAATAATTACTTGTTTTGGAGGTAATTCCTAATGTTTAGGGTCCCAAAGCATTTTTACAAAAGAGTTATTAGTGTCAAATGCTTTTTGCTAGATCTTGTCAAATATTTATCATGGCAAATAAATACAGTTTTGTTAGAAAATAATATAATCAAATCCTTATACAGGTATTCCTTAAGGACTAGTAAAATGCTACTCATTAGTTCCCAACTTTGCAGTTTGAAAAGTTCTGTCTGACTTTTTAAAGTTACACAAAAAGAAGTAAGAAAACACCCTGAAACCTATAGTATGAGATTGAAAAATTATCTAATAATTCAAAACAGATGATGGGACATAATTTTCTTGTATACAATTTAAAAGGTTTCACAGAGGCATGCAAAAATCTGCTCTGATCCCATATTCAGTGACTTGCCTGTGGTTAACATTAGGATAAGGCAAAAATGTGAATAAAGAGTAAGAGTTCTACCATGTGGTTTGCTCTTTAGATGAAAGCAGAGACATAAATTCTAATTTAATATTAAGTCTTTCCAGTGCAGCCTGAAACTATACTTGGCTTGCAATGTACTGGTTTTATTATTTTATTTTTCTTTCCTTTTTATTCTACAGGATTTCAGTTTCACCTTTGCAACCCTCTTGTTAGCCAGACTTATCACATATCACAGGCTACGACGTAATTTGTTTGAAAAAAAAGTGATCTCAGAGTCTGTGATTTCAAGACCTGAAAAAAAGTCCCAAATGAAAGTTCCAAATAAATATCCTTAACTCATGAAACTGTCATTAGGTTTCTAATGCTTACTTGCTATTCCAAACTTCATTATTACGATATTGAACAATACAGAAACCTTTGTGATGGAGTTTGCTTGATTTTTGTTAGCTTTTCAAGCTACTTTGGGATCATTTACTAATCCCTGCATTGCAATGAGTTTTCTTCATTAATGAGGATTAACTAAATCCAAGATAACATCTACTTGGATTTCTTCCTTCTCTGAAATGTTCTGGTGAGTAACAACCTAAATTGAAACCAGACTGTCATTTTATCACCTAAAATCAGAAGTGGAAACAGGAAACAAAGACCAATACATATAAATTAGATCCTCAAAACATACTCATTGGCATTAAACTGCTTCCAAACTTTATAAGACGGCACAAGTTTTATATTTTATTTTCAACATAAAAGAACCACAGGCCAATTTAAAACAGAAACATTTTTCTAGATTGGCTATCAAATTCCTTTACTTGTAAGGCAGAAGCTAACCAGGAGAGATTTATGACATGGTTTGAATGCTACCCTACCCAGCAGGAGCCTAGGTAAGCCAGAAGACTTTTGTCTGCTCAGATACACATATAATTTTAACATGACAAAATTTCGCCCTGGGTAGGGCAAAATTGCATTTCTCTTCAGGGCTGACCTAAGACTTAAGGGTGGTACAGTGAGATTTTATCAGTCTCCTTAAAAAGAAAACTTCTTCCAAGTGCCTGTAAATGGACATGCGCTTCTCTGAGTTTCTGTTTCGGGTGATAGAAAATTTGGCAATGGATACTGGTGATGGTTACACAACAAGATTAATGTAATCAGTTACTAAACTGTACATGTGAAAAAATTCTAATTGGCAAATGTTGTGTTATATATATTTTTACAGCAACAATAACAAAGAAAGGACATGTACTCCTATAACTGGAACTCATTATTTTAAAGCAGAGTAAGTCACAAAAATAAATCCTTTCAAGTCAGTGATTGAGAGGGTGGGTGAAGAAAGCTCACTAGAAGGGAAGTAAACACTGAGTTAGTCTTGGCCATATTTAACTCTGCGGGAATTACCTGTACCATTGAACTGTGTGGGCATTTTTGGCTGAAGTACATGGAACGTAGTAGGTACCCAATATGTTTTTGCTGAGTGAATGAATTAATATAAAATTACAAACATATGTAGGTCTACTTCTTATTCTATATATTATATTTTTATTATATTGAGCATATTATATACACTGGCCAATTGGCTATTAAAATGGAGGTTTGTTACCAGGGGAGTATAACTATATTAACTCTCACTAATCTTTCTTTCAGGGAATAAAAGCAACATAGTGAAAGGCAACTAGTAAAAACTGTTTGTTGACTTTTAAGATTCAGATTCTATCTGGTTAGAGGTTCTTTAGGAAAAAAGTCTCTGTCATTATCAAAATATTATCTTTTAAAGGATATCCCTATCCCTGGAAATCTTAACAGTAGCTAACTGTGGCTATAACTTATGAAACATCTAGAATCTAGATAAAGCATAACATGTATGCTGATCTCCTGAATATGTTGAAATACACCAATATACTTGCATAAGAAAGCTTTTACAACTACTCTTAACTCAGAAAAAGTGTATTATTTCTTTTATACCTCCATTCTCTCTTCTCCCCTATGTTCTACACTTCCTTGGAATGTGAGACAAGTCAAAGAGAGTTTATGCAGACAATTAACAAATGCAAAAGAAGTTACAGAAAAGAGAAAATTGAGAAGGTAAGAATAAATTATACACTTTAAATTTATCTAAGTATATAGACTCTGTATGAGCATATGAACATTTCTGTTTTATTTTTGTCTGCACCATTAGGTATTTTGCATTTAGAGATGTGACCTGTATTAAGTTCAAGTAAACCTTAAATCATGCTGTTTAGATACCACCTTTCTGAAAGGACCACATTCTCTTTTTAATTATCTAAGTTCATTTTTAAAAGTTTAAATTTCGTCCATTTAAACTCTCCACAATATCTACATTCCCCTGCCACCTTCACCCTTTCTTTTATAATTTATCTTATCTCATTTATTTTTTACCTATCAGTCTCCCTAACCAGACTGCAACTTCTTCAAGGAATAGGTCTTTAATTCATCTTGGAATCCTGGGTATCCTACACAGAGTAAGTACTTAATAAATGTTTATGAAAGTAAAGTTTGTTCTTGTACTTTCCTCCTCTGACTATATTTTTGTTATGTTCCATTCATTTTGGGGTGCTTTTATAAGACCTAGAGTGATTGCTTTCCTCCATCTTTAGTCTCATAAATCTTTGCACATTATTAAAAAAAAGTATAATTTGTGAAGGTAACTGAACACTGTTCAGGTTACTAAAAAGGCAAAACAAAAACATGTAAAAATGGCTCATAGCTTATTCATTATTCATTACTACAGATTTGAAAAGATACAGTAATTGAGATGAATACTAATATTAAAAAAACTCATTGCCATTGAGTTGATTCCAACTCATACCGACCCTATAGGACAGCGTAGAACTGCCCCATAGGGTTTCCAAGGCTGTAAATTTTATGGAAGTGGACTGCCACACCTTTTTCCTGCAGAGCTGCTGACAGGTTTGAACTGCTGACCTTTTGGTTAGCAGCTGAATATTTAACCACTGTACCACCAGGGATCCTTGAATACTAATATACCAATATATAATGCTTTATCACAGACATCACAATTTGAATAACTGATGGGGGAAAACCCCACTAAAAAGCACTTTTTAAAGTTGTCCAGTAAATAGTAACACTTGCTAGAAAATAAAGGATTATTTCTTTTATTAAGGAGCCAAAATACTTCACTTAGCAATGTATAAATCTGAAAGATGGTTATTAAAACAGTTCACTACTTCGATAATGGTTTCAAAGCAATGGGAAAATTTTTTCATGTTCTGTGTTATACACTTTAAAAGCAAGAAGAAAACGAGATCTTTTTCATACTCAATAGTATAACTGAAACATGACTGAAATCTTAGAAAATTACCACTCGGGTCAACAATGAGATGTCAAGTAATTATGTGGCAAATCGAATAACACAAAGCTCAAGCCTCTTACCATCAAATCCATCTTCTTCTGACCCTAGTTCATCATCTGAGCAGATATTGAGGACGTTTACCAGCATCTCAGTCACTAAAGAGAGAAAGGAAAAAAGAGAGAGAGAAAAAAAAGAACAGATTTTCTGTTATAACCTTAATGGTTGTTACTCTGAAGTTCTTAATAAGCAATCTTAGCAGTAACAAATCTAGTTAATGAAGTCCCCTACAAAGCAGTACCTATAAAATCCAAATCATAAAAGACAACAGCCTTTGTGACTCTATGTAGACTTTATGTTTCTAAAATTATTAGTTCATATCTAGTACCAAATCCAATGGTAGCATTTATTAGCTATAGGTCGAAAGGCAAGGCACAAATTAAATACGTGGGTGTGAATATACTCTAAATCTATGAGGGAAAAAATGGTTATTTTTGAATTTTTATTTATTTGCACAATGACACTACTACATGTAGATCAAAGAGATTACAGACTTCTGTTCAGCAGGGATTAAGCAAATGCTGGATTTTTTTTTTTTTTTAAACTCCCCAGAGTACTCAGTACAGGGATAGACACATGGTTTTGTGTTTAATAAAGATTGTGGACTGATGAACCAGTACATCTGAAACAGCTTGAGCATACTGATTAAAAAGTGAATATGTTAATAGAAATATCATTAAATTTGATTTTCAAAAAGCATTTAAAAATAAATTTTAAATCTAAATCAGAAGTTTAGTTAAGTAAATAGATAACAACAGGATTATATAAAAGGGCTGTACACAGAAAATTAGTACTGCATTACGTTTACACTAAGATGCGTGTTTATTTACATTAGCGTTTTTTGAAATTAGGTTAGGTCTTAGTAATGTGAAAAGAAAATCACCCACTATGTCTTTCTTCTTCAAGAGCTGTTTCTTAATGTGGTATTTTTAAACCAATGTTCTAGAATTTAAAATATATGATAAAAAATAAAATTTCGGTGGCATTAACATTATTCCTGAGTTTTAGTTTAATTATCAAAGCTGAATTATGTACATATAAAGAACAACAACCCGTTGCTGTCGAATCGATTCCGACTCATAGCGACCCTGTGGGACAGAGTACAACCACCCCATAGGGTTTCCAAGGGGCATCTGGTGGATTCTAACGGCTGACCTTTTGGTTAGCAGCCGAAGTCTTAACCACTACGCCACCAGGGCCCTGACATTTACGTATATCAATATATTAATGTGTTCTTTTATAATAGATGTTCAAAACTCAAATGATGGGAACAACTCAACTAAACGGTTTTCCCATGGTACCCAGAAGTTGTTAGAATTCACTGATTTTCCTTTTAGAGAAGCCAAGAGATGGCACTAACATGTACTGTGATTTGATCAGTGCAAGGAACTGGGGACATGTACTAGTACTGGGAACATTATCACTCATTATTATGATTTACTTGTGACTTAGTTTGGTACTCAAAGGAACTCCTTCACTGACAACTCCTAACTTCCTGGTTTAATCATTTTAGGGCATGGAAAGAAAAAAACAACACATATATTGTAGGGTTTCAGAAAAAATATGTAGCTTTTCTCTAAAATTTTCCTGTAGAACAAATCTTCACTTTTCTGAAACTTGTGGAAACTTTTATCTTTATTGCAAGGCCCATTCATCTTCTCATGCAATGTGTGAGATGACGCATGAGGAACGACGTAGTCTATTGCCATTAGGATCCTGAACTAGAAGCTCAGGCTCATTTGGTGCAGACCTTCCTTTCCAATTTTTGTTGAGGTTTCATTCAAAATATAAAAACAAAACAAAGGGAAAAAAAAGGAAGGAAGGAAGAAAGGGAGGGAGGAATTGAGGGAGGGAGGGAAGAAGGAAGGGAGGAAGGAAAGGATAAAGGACAGAGAAAAGAAGGGAGGGAAGGAGGATGTGAAGAAAGAAGTAAAAGGCCAGATCTGAAAAACTGGGGCAAATTAATTGACAGCTTTTTATATGTAAATTTGTCTCATTGTTCTGTACCTTATAACACACTAATGCTCACTACATATTTTTTTATTATGGTAACAAAATATTAGCCAATTCAACAAAGCCCACTATATTTTTAATGAACTATTCTTTTTGTTGTACAGGTTGTCCTTCATAATATTGTAGACATACATCACTGTCTTACAATGATTAGTGTTCATGTCTGAAATGTAAGGAAAGCCTGAATACCCTAAGCTTTTTCATTTTACAGGTAGTTTGTAAAATAAAATAGCTTTTTTAAATTACAGTACAAAGTGGTAAGGAAAATAGGTAGCCAGTATAGCTTGAAGCCAGTTAAAACCATATTTCTGTTATTTTTAATAGGGTTATATTATTCTAACGAGATTTACAAATTCTCCTAATATTTCTCATTTCTTTTGTTTCCTCTTTATTCACTCATTGGATTCTGTTAATAGTATATATCCTAACACACTTTCAAATCACTTTTCTCATGGCGTAGTTTATGAGTCTTATTGGTTAGGCTAAGGTGTTTCTCTTTCTGAATGTTTTACAGTTAAATAAACCCTTTCCTACTTTCCTATCACATTTAATTAAGAACATTTCAGGATTCCACAACATACCTTTCTCTCCAACAAATGGCAGGGACCAAGTGAAAACATCCATGAAGTTTGGAAGCCAGTATGGATGAGGGGAACAGTTGAATTGCCTGATGTTCATAACGTTATTCTCATACTTCAATACTGCAGCTGAAAACCACAAAAAGAAGGAATTTCACAGCATATATATATATATATATATATTCCTGCTTGAATATAGGCTTTAACTGCTAATAAATTCAACTATTTGACTTAAGTTCCTGAACATCAAGGCAAACAGTTTAATTAGCCCTGAATGTTTATACTACTTATAGACTTCTAACTTCACTCTAATAAGTAACTGCACAATATATACATACTGTATATTGAGACAGTTATTACAATTTGGTAAATATTTACATAAAATAGTTAATCAAATGTCTGTCAGGAATTGAATCAAGCTCTTATCGTAGCCAAGAACATTTTAGTCTTATTTAATATCTGATGACACCAGTAATAACTGCATAGCTAAGTTAGTTTGACATGATTTAAGAATCTCAAATATTTGAGTTGACTTTATTTTTTTAAAGCACACCTCCTTTCCAGTAGAACTCACAACAGTTGTACAAAGTAGTTCAACTTAGATTGCTTTCTTGACTTAATAAAGTAATTTGTTTGGGTTGAATTTCACATAAAATAATATGCTGGCATCTGATTCTACCCTTAACTTCTAAAAAGGATATACCGCTCATGACTCGGAAAATGAATCTGTATGTTTCACCCTGCTTTGTGCGGTGTCAGTAGGTTAGATATACACTCACATGGAACATTACAGTTGGAAAGATCCTAAGAGCATAGCTAGTCTCATATCTCATTAGATTCTGAAACGCATTCTATAGCAATCATGATAAAGGGTTAGTAGGCCTCTGTGAGTACTTCAAATGAAGGAAAAGCCACCACCTCTTTAATGGGGTTACCTTTTCCACAGACAATTTTAAATTGAGGGAAATTCCCAAGTTCAGTTTAAACCTGCCTTATGTAATTTCTACTCACTGATCCTAGTTCTGCCTTCTGGAAAAATACAGAACAAGTATACCTGTGTTTCTAAATAACAGCTTTTAAAATATTTGAAAACAATACCCTTATATCATACTTCCTGAGTTTTTGCAAGATTTCACTTTTGTTATCCTACCACGTCATTATTAGTATTATATAAGTACAGATCAATTAACAGATCCTAGATGATGTCAGATGGGCTTTTCTTATGTTTAAAGGTTTAAAATATATATCTATATATAAATATAAATCTGTATTTAATTACTTTTAGGTTGGATTTATGTCAGTGTATGTTGTAGCATGTGATCACAGATAATAGGATAGCCTTTAAAAATCTATTTATTGAAAGTTAGTGTTTATTGGGGTTTATGCTTTTACATTACACAGAATTTACCTCACGATGTGTTTAACATATCATTGCTTTCATAACTCTGCATTTGCTCTTCCATCTAGAAATGTTCTCTTAGAAACTTCTGAATGTCCAAATCTTTCCCATCCTTTTGTGCCCAGCTCAAACATAAGCCCCTCAGAGAAGCCTTTTCTGATTATTCACATGGATGTAATTTCTCCTTCCTCTGAGTTTCAAAAGCTCTTGACTTATACCTTCATATTGCATTATTATACAATTTTGATCATAGCTACTTTATATATGTGTGTATCTTACTTCTCTCACTAGATTGTAAGACTCCTTAAGGACTAGTGGAGGTCCTGGGTGGTTAATGTGCTGGGCTGCTAAATGGTTAATGTGCTAGGCTGCTAACCAAATAGTTGGAAGTTTGAATCTACCCAGAGGTGACTGAGAAGAAAAGCCTGATGATCTATTGCCTAAAAAAATCAGCCATGAAAATCCTATGGAACACAGTTTTACTCTGACATACACATGGGGTCTCCATGAGTTGGAATCAAATTGACAGCCACCGGTCTTTATTGGTAAGGATAAGTAAGATTCAACAGGCTTTATATGTCTTTGTGTCTCACATATCATCTTACCTAGTAACACATCTTGATATTTCTCCTACAATTCTTTTTTTCAAACTAATTGTTCCTAATCCCTTTGACTTTCTTTATATGAGATGGTTTCTAGAACCTTTCCCTCCTCCTGCCCCTTCTTCTGGAGGAATGCTTGAATGCCAATGCCTCTGTTAAAATGTGGCCCAGAATTAATACAGCCTTCTAGGTGGGTTTGATTAGTGCAAAGTACTGGGAGGATATAGTTTTCCGTGACTTGGAAAATATGTATATTGCAGTCCAATAGTATGTTGATGTTTTCAGTAGTCTGCAGTTAACTAAAATCATACTTGAGAACACTACAGACTTTGATTTGAATCATATTTCTGGCTGACTAAATGATTTCAGGGAATATAAAATCACAGATACTTTGGGAACAAGAAATTTAGAAAAAATATCTTACATAAATTTCTGTAAGCCTATTCCTCTTTATTCCGTCATTTATGCCATTATATTGTTTGGCCTAAGGATATGTTCATATGATATTCAAAACATGCAAAATGAAAAAAACCATGGCAAATTACTGTGCTGATACTTCTGAACTTCAGGACTGGTAAGGTGAAGTATCTTCTATCTCTGCTAAGTGCTACCTGGGCGCTTACTATTACTTCAGGTAAAAGGGCTCTCTGTTTTTGAATACAAGGAGACCTGGTGGTGCAGTGGTTAAGCACTTGGCTGCTAACCAAAAGTTTGGTGGTTGGAACCCACTAGTCATCCACAGGAGAAAAATGTGGCAGTCTACTTTTGCAAAGATTTACAGCCTTGGAAGCCCTACCAGACAGTTCTACTCTGTCCTATGGGGTCGCTAGGAGTAGGAATCAACTTGATGGAAACGGCTTTGTTTTTTAGTTTTATTTTTCAATGGGTATATTCACAACATATCTTCAAAATAATGTTTTAAGGCTCTAAGTTGTCTTTTTAAGAGTCACTTCTCTAGGTTCCCCCCATTTTTTATTAGCATTAGGTTGGTGTAGCAGGAGGAAGGAAAATGAGTGTTATGACTAACAGTGCCCTGGAAGAAAGGAAAGGCTGGGTCTGGAGGATTTTATATAATATGCCATTTAATTCTAACAACAAATCTGAGAAGCAGGTGTGACTGCCCTTACGTTACTGACAAAGGAACTGAGGTTGAGAAATGAAGTAACTTGCCCAACATCATGCAACCAGTAACTGGCAGATCTCACTTGTACTAAATTCAGCTTTTCCTGACAACAAATCCTTTCTCTTCCACCATTCCCTGCTGTCTCTCATAAATTAAGTATATGAATTTTAGGCTTAGCTGTTAGACTAATTTAACTTTTGAACATGCTGTTCATAATTAAAGGGGTTTTAGCTTTTGCCAAATATATGTTTAAATACGATGCAAATTCACAAGTGAGGTAAGGCTTGTCTAATAGATAAAAACAGAAGTTATGCTTTGTAGCTGATAAAAGTATTTATTCATTCAGCATTGGCACAACACAATTTATGTGAGTGCCTATTAAAATAGCAAATAACTATTTTCAGATTTTATTTTTATTTATTAACAACATAAATACAAAATATATTCTAACAGCAGGTACTTTTACTGAGCGCCTACTATACGCCAGGCACATGTTTAGCCCTTTACAAGTATAGACACAAATCTTCACCATATCCCTCAAAAATGTTTCTTATCATTCACATTTTGAAAATGAGCAAACAGAGAGAGGTTAAATTATTTGCCCAAGATCACAGTTAAACATAAAACTCGTTGCTGCGGAGTGGATTCCGACTCATAGTGACTCTATAGAACAGAGTAGAACTGCTTCATAGGGTTTCCAAGAAGTAGCTGGTGGATTCGAACTGCAGACCTTTTGGTTAGTGGCCAAACGCTTAACCACTGTACCACCAGGGCTCCAAGGTCACGTTAGGAAGTAGCAAACTTCAGCTTTGGCGTATCTAAAGTCTTTGATTTTTCTAGTACTTCATCATACACTAGCCCTAACAGTATAAATTGGGGCCTTGGTGGTGCAGTGGTTAAGCGTCTAGCTGCTAACCAAAAAGTCAGCAGTTCGAATCCATCAGCCACTCCTTGGAAACTGTATGGGGCAGTTCTACTCTGTCCTATAGGGTCGCTACGAGTCGGAAACGACTCAACAGCAATAGGTTCGTTTTTGTTTTTTTTTGGTTTAATAGCGTAAATTATGCAATGTGTACCACTAGACACAGATTTCTTCTTCTTCAAAATGAGCAGTGAACTTGAAGGCCAGGGGCGCAGACTACTAGATGGGTTCTGTCATTAGTTATTCATGTGACAAGGTTGCTAAATGTCTCTAGGTCTCAGTTATCTCACCCGTTTACCACATGGGCTTAAGTAGATAATTTATATGATCTCTTTCAGACCCAAATGATGTTGATAATGTTCTTAAACAAAGACCTTATCATTAATGCAATTAATAGTTTCAGTAATTCCAGAGGATATTAACAGGCTATTTTCCTATTTTTCTCTAGATTTAAAAAAAGAGTAACTTTAACTTAAAAACGAAAATATGCCAAAACATACACTTTTTTCCTCAGCAACATAAAATATCCATGCAAAAGTACCTCTCAAATAACCTTACATTAATAAGTTACTCATGAATTTTGATGCTTTTGTGTAAAAAATATATATCACAAAAATACACGAAAAAAACTTAAACCAAAATCATCCCAAACATCTGCAGTCATGAAATTCACAGTTGACGTTTCATCTTCCACCTCCTACATCCGCCGCCCATGCCACCTGCCTCTGACTGTCATGGGGATTACAAAACTCAACCAGGGCCCTAACAGTGTGCTCTTCTCTGAAGTACTTGAAAGACATTTATCTCCAGTGCAACATAAATAATACAAATGGTTTCACTTCAAGAATCACTCCAGACCACCTCCTGAGACCTTGTCTGAGAAATAGTGAGAGAAAAAAAGAACAGAAGCCTACTATCAAGGAACTCTTCTATGCCACTGGCAACTACACATAACCTCATGTCATTTAACAATTGTATCAAAGGTCTGGAGAGAGACTGCGACAATATCGACCTTATGCTATTATTCACAATTCTGAGCAGACGAGACAGCACAGAAACACATGCCCTTCCTGTTGCACATTC